CCCCAAACATCCTTCCCCCACACATACACACAAACACACAAAACAACAACAACAACAACAACAACAACAACAGTCAACAAACAACAAAAAGCAAAAAAAAAAAAAACAACCACAAAATGCAACAACAAACAAACAACAGCAACAACAAACAACAAACAAACCCCCCAAAAAATGTTAAAATCGGGTGTTATACATGTAGTATGAAAAGTAATAGATAAACCCTCAGCATTGTTCTCAAAAGCCGTCGAGCTTCGAGTGTCACAATTTTGAGGAGAACAAAACGTCATCCTGCACCTCCGTCTTTTTTCCTGGGGTGTGGTCCATGTAGTAGGCTATGTAGAACTCTTGATGTAGATTGATACGACTAGCCACCAGCGATCACTCGAATCGCCCCTCCTGACCCCCACCATTGATGGTCTTCGGTTGTCACTTCGACAGACGAAAAACAACAACAACAACAACAACAACAACAACAACAACAACAGCAACAGCAACAACGGTACAACAGCAGCAGCAGCAGCAGCAACAACAACAACAACAACAACAACAACAACAACAAAAACAACTGAAAAGTTGGTTTATCTCTTGTAATTTTCATCCGCTCAAGGAAAATTTTATATTACATAAATTACAAGATTTTAATAACATAATATGGTGGTTTAATTTTTGATAATATCCAGAACTTATAGCAGCCAGAAACACCACAAAATAGTAGGAGCACATGAAGAAGGCTGCCTGTCGGTACGATCACAATCCATCATGTTCAACAACAACAACAACCACAACAACAATAACAACAACTACAACAACAACTACGACAGCAACAACAACAGCTTTTTGTAACAGCCAGGGTTGACCATGACACAACATACAGGTTTGATGAAGCCCTCCTCCTAAAATATACCTATATAGATAACATGAAGTCGACACGTCAAACTTGTAAAGAAACCAACAAATGAAGCAAATACAAAATGTCTGAAAAAATATACTTTATTATGCTGCTATCTATATATACACGTATGATGTTGAGAACAAATTATGCATACTCAAAGTATAAAAGAAACAATTTTGCACACTGTCAACAGAGGAGAGAGGATAACTACGAAATTGTTTGAATGAAGGGTAGGTAAGTTTTTGGGAGACGAACCAGAGGTGCTCAAGTTTGAATCTCAGACGTACGTAATGCGTTTGAAAGTCAGTAGCCCTACTGTAGCTCAACACTCCTGTCGTGGCGTGGCGTGTCGTGGCGTGGCGTGGCGTGGCG